TCGCCACTATGAGGGTGCTGGGAGTTGAACACGGGTCCTCTAAAAGAGCAGACAGTGCTCTTAACTACTGAGCTATCTCTCCAAACTCTTAACTTTCAATAAATAGCAAACAGAAGCATAGGTAAATATCTCTGTGGGTAAAACTACTTGCTGTACAAGAGTGGTGACCTGAGTATGAATCCCGTGCACCCTTGTAAAGCTGGGTATTGTACACCTGAAATGCCAGGGAGATGGGAGGTTGAGACAGGAAAACCCCTGGAGGCTCTCAGGTCAGCTAGCCTGGCATACATAGTGGTGAATAACAGAGAGATCCTGCCTCAAATAAAGATGAGGGTGAACACTCAAGATTGTCCTCTGACCTCCACATGTGCACATGCATGTAAATGTACTCATTCATACATGAGCATGCACACACACACACACACACACACACACACACACACACAGAGAGAGAGAGAGAGAGAGAGAGAGAGACAGAGAGACAGAGAGACAGAGAGAGACAGAGAGCGTTCAAAAACAATAAAAAGAAATAAAATTTAAACAAAATTGCAGACAACAGAAAGAATATTTATTAACTGGAGGAACAATCAGAGGACATTTCTAGAATATAATGCAGAAAACTAAGCCTACTCAGGCCATTAAAAACCACTAAAGGAAAGCAAGCTTGGTTTGCAAAATAACAACCACAATTTCTAAGGGTAATAAGGAAAGGGTTGACATAAATGAATGAATGCACAGGAAAAAAAATGAGTTAGGATAAAAGTCCTAAGTTCCTAGATTAAATTTTAATTGTGACAAGTTAAAGAAATGTGCTGTATTTTCATCTGACCACAAAAAGCATGTGACTTCCAAATCATTGGAGGGGAAGAAAAAGGCAAAGTGAAAAATGCAATCCACCCAAATAAAGGCAAGGAAAAATAGGGAAGAAACTAAAGAATAAAAAGAGGAAGAAGGAAGTAGTATTAGAAAACCAAAGGCCTTGCATCATCAATCAGTTTTTTCCACAGACAGAACTGACATCTATGACTTCAAATTCAAAGACAGAAACTTAGTGTTTTACAGGTACAGCCTTTCCAGAAGAACAAGAAGTAACATGTCAGTCCTATTTTTGATGCTGGTATGAACTGGATATCAAGAACAGAGGAACAATGGAGATTTATAGACCAATCTTATTTATGATCCTTAGAGATATGCAAACTTATAGCACATTCAAGTTTTCCGACTAGCATGACTCACATTTAATGGAGTTTACTACACAGGTTTCAGGAAAAAGACCTACGATCACCTTAATAAACAAAAGCAATGGTAGAATTAAACATCAATATTTATTAATCTCTTAACAGAGATTCTCCTATCCTAACGACTGGATGGTGGAAAAAGAGCTGCAGAAACCTTCAGTCAATCTTGAATCTAGTCAGAAGACAAGGGTTTCCATTGTCTCACACAATGCCAGACTTTTCTTCAGGGTTGATGTTTGCCATAGATGATGTGGGGGCATGCCAGCTCTGTTTCTCAACAGGACCTCCTCAAGCCCTTCCATCGCCCTTAAAGACAGAGGATGTAGCAAGCTGGAGCAGATGTAGGGAACAATGTGGCACCCTGGAGGTTCTTTCTGCCTTTACCAAGCTCCCGGAACCTCATGCTCTACTCTGGTATGTCCATAGGTTCTCTTGTTAGGGAGACCATCAAGGCACAGAGTCCACACTTACTCCTTTAGTGCACAGCTGCTGTTACTAGGGGCCTAGGCATAATTAAACCCAGGTGAGAGGGGGTCACTGTCATGGGTTTTGGACCAGATAAGCAGGAAAAAGCCAGTGGCTTTTGTCCAGGCCCAGAGCAATCAGAAGCAGAAGTTTACAGGGAGAGTTTGGGTTCAGAGTCCTTATAATTTTTTTATTTAAATTTAAAACAATCCTATTTTACATATCAGTCTCAGTTCCCTCTCCCTCCCATCCTCCCTTGTCTCCCATTGATCCCCCATCCCAGGCCCCATCCTTTCCCAGGGAGACTGGGGCCTTCCATGGGGGATCATCAAAGTCTGTCACATCATTTGAGTCAGGGCCTACACCCTCCATACCCCAAAATCCCATCCATGTATCTAGGCTGAGAGAGTGAGAGAGTATCCCCCCATAGGGGAATATGCTTCCAAAGTCCATTCCTGCACTAGGGATAAATACTGGTTCCACCTCCAGAGACCCCATAGAATGCCCAGGCCTCTTAACTGTCACCCACTTTCAGGGGGCCTTGTTCACTTCTATGCTGGTTCTCCAGCTGTCTGACTGAGATCCATGAGCTCTCACTTGCTCAAGTCAGCTGTTTCTGTGGGTTTCCCCAGCATGGCCTTGACCCCTTTGCTCATCACTCCTCCTTCTCTACAACTGGATTCCAGTTCATCTCAGTGTTTAGCTGTGGATCTCTGTTTCTGCTTCTATCAGCTACTGGATGGAGGCTCTAGATGGCATTTAAGGTAGTCATCAATCTCATTATAGGGAAGGTCATTTAGGTAGTCTCTCCATTATTGCTTAGATTCTTAGTTGGGGTCATCCTTGTGGAATCTGGACATTTCCTTCTTTGCACATTGCTCTTTAAACCTATAATGCCCCCCTCTATTAAGCAGCTCTTTTCTTGCTCTCCTCTATTCTTCCCTTGACTCAACCTTCTTGATACCTCATGTCCTCCTCTCCCCTCCTCTTCTCCCCTCCTCTTTCTCCTACTGCCCTCTCCCTACCCCCCCCCCGTGCTCCCAATTTGTTCAGTAGCTCTTGTCCCTTTCCCCTTCTCCAAGGGACCAAGTATGTCTCTCTTAGGGTCCTTCTTGTTTCCTAGCTTCTCTGGCGGTGTGGATTGTAGGCTGCTACTGCTTTGTTCTAGGTCTAAAATCCATATATGAGTGAGTACACACTATTTTTTATTTATTTTTTGTGACTGGGTTACCTCACTCAGGATGGTGTAGGGGACAGTAATCCATGCCTACTAGAAGCTGGCTACTGGTGTGCCTGACCACATCTGTCAGGGCATGGTCAAAGGTGAGATCAGGATGACGCCTAATAAGTTTTTAAGGGGCTGCAAGACACATGGGTGCCCCTTCTCTCTGGCCTGCCTGCCTTGCTGCCCTGGCACACTCTGGCTTGCGTTTGGCTGGTATTTATCTGAATAAAGATATCTTAACCTTACAGACTACAGATCATCTCGTAATAGGATGGTTTCTTCTAGTTTTATCCAGTTGCCTCTGATTTTCAAGATTTCATTATTTTGTTTTGTTTTCCCTGCTGAGTAGTACTCCATTGTGTAAATGTTGGACATTTTCTCTATCCATTCTTCAGTTGGAGGGCATCTAGGTTGCTTCCAGGTTCTGGCTATTACAAATAATGCTGCTATACACATAGTTAAGCAGATGTCCTTGTGGTATGAATGTGCATCCTTTGGGTATATGCCTAAAAGTAGAATTGCTAGATCTTAAAGAAGACTGGTTCCCTTTTCCTGAGAAACAGCCATACTGATTTCCAAAGTGGCTTTATTACATGAGCCAAAACAACCAAAAACCATCATGGAAAGGTGTCGTGGGACACAAACACAAACAAGAAACTCTATATTCTCTAAGTCTAAAGAAAATGGTGCTGGCATATGTATGATATTGGACAGCACAATGGATGTATACCAGCATGTATTCTCCAGAAAAAAATAAGAACCTTGTGTTCTTGTGTCTGGTCTGTGTACTTCACAGTGTCTTGTGGCTCTCTCTGGCTTGTTAGGATGGGTTCAGGGGAGCAGAGAAAGCTCTTTTGCAAATGCTGAGGGTGAGAGATCCTTCCACAGTGCAGAGGAATGTGAAGCAGTCTGTGTTTAAGGCATTTCCTGCCTCTGCATCTACTGCAATATGTGCTCAAGGGAGCAAAGCCAGGTGCCTTTGAACACCTTCTCCATGCAGCTGAGGGAGGAGCCCAGGGGTTTCCTCTCCAGGGGAAGTCTGAGCATGGGCTCATCTTTTGTGTGGGATGCCAGCAAGTTACTTACCAGAGATGAGATGACATTGAGGTCACTTTTGCCTTGGTGGCCTGGGACTCCTAGGCTCAGCTCAGGCTCTGTCCTAACATGGTTGATGCTGTTTGTTGGGTCAGTTACTATCTTTGGTAGAATTTTTTTTATGTCCACTCTAAGGATATACAGTAATGGTTTTCAAAGTTATTTTAAGCCATAGAACCATCTCCCCAAAGTAAACGTAACAGGTAAACTGAATACATATGTGACTGTATGAGTTCTAACATACATGTTTCTTTGATTCTGCATTCTTCTTTGTTTTTGCTGAACAGAACCACACATGGATTTGGGTGTCCTAGGTAGGCAGATAAGAAGTAGGAACATGCTCAAATCTACTGGACTGTAAAGCACAGAAGTGGATAGGCTCTTCTCAGTGGGCATGAAGAGAAGCAGGTGGAGCTAGAAGGCCTAAGGAAGCTGGCTTTGTGTCCAGAGGACAGTGAAATTTGTCCTAGATGTGGAGCAGCCCTTATTGCAAGAGCTGTCTCTTAATGGGGAAGCTGTGGGACAGAGATACTGTGCCCATGGAGTCCCATCTACAGTGACCTCAGCTCTGTCTCCCATGTCTCCAGACCAATGGTGCTTTCCCTTTCCTTTCCTCCAATGACACAGAGGAGGGAGAAGTTCACCCTGGAGACAAAGACTAGAGATACACAAATTTTCTCTTGAAGGGCTCAGCTTTGGGCCTATAAAAAGGCAGGCACTGGAGAGTAGGACAAGTAAAAACTATCTGGACAATGGCCTTGACTGAGTTTTGGGGTGTGGGGTGTATGTGGTATTGGGGTGAGCAGAAACGTGCCATTGGCCTGCTGGCACAGAGTTGATCCCCATGAATGCACAGGAAACCCGTCTTTCCATTGAGCAAAGAGACTTTATTGAGTTGCTGGATACTGTCCTAGGACAGCCCTGGACTCAGCCTAGGGAAGATGGTGAGTCAGAGAGTGTTCTGATTTGGTCTGCAATTAGCTATGTTCCATCGTATTCTTTATCCAGGATAGAAAACTTGAGATCCTGGTGAAGACTTCAGGTGTTGAACTATCTTTTTTTCCAAAGGATGTGATGCCCACAGTCACTTTCTTACACAGGAGAGGACCTCCAGAATCCCCCTGTGAATGGAGAGGGGCCACAGGGATCTGGTCTGATTTCATCCTAGTCCCAACCTTTCTCTCTCCAGAAGTGTGCCTTGTGTATGCTGCATGTGAGAGATGAGAGGGCAGGCCAGGGTGTCTGGATTCCTGCTCTGATTGTAGACAGAGTTACTGCTTCACCTCCCTCCTGAGCCCCGCTCTGTCCTCTCTCCAGGTCTGTGATTCACTCTCTATGAGGGAGTGCGAGATCCTCTTCTCCAGGCCATTGTTTAAGATCCCAGAGACAGGTGAGTGGGCCTGATATGAGCATGGAGGACAGGACAATTGACAAATGTGGGTGCCTGCTCTTTGTGTTAATGACACACAGGGACACAGCTTTCTATAGTCTGGCCTGGTGTCAGGAGGACGGTGCAAATCTTGCTTCTATACCAGCTGCCTTCACAGAGGCCCTGGTCAGCTCTGAGGCCCTAGTTAGTTATTGGTGTCTGCTGTTCCCAGAGAGAAGAGTCACAACCAAGGAGTCCCTTGATGCTTGACTCTAGGTCCCAGATTGCTTTTCCCCTCCCATGGAGCCCATAGAGGATAAAAATCCAGCTTACCCGAAAGGCAGCACGCTTGATCTGAGGGTCCCCCACACATATCTGAATGGCTTTGTTGTAATAACCTGGATAGCGGGCCTCACACTCCTGATCCTTCTGCACTGTCAGCTCCACCTCTTGAAGTGTGTTTGCACATTTGCCTTCTGGGGCTATCATTCCCCAACCAGCCACGGAGCACACATCCCCTGGCTTCACATGGACTTTGCGCCATGGAAGCTTGAGGGTCTTCACAGCCTTAGTTCTCTTGGCCTTCGTCTGCAGCTGTTGGGGAAGAAGCAACTTGACAGCTGGGCTCAAGAAGCTCTGTCAAGAAGCTCATTGACAGCTGGGCTGAGACCCCATGCAGGCCAGGGTGGAAGGGAGAAAAGGAGGGCGATGAGAGCAGGAGGGGTGATCCCTGGTCCAGGATGAGGACAGGTCTCACCTTTAAGAGCATGATGTCACTGGAGCGGCTCTTAGAATTATAGTCAGGGTGTTGAATGGCTTCTGCAACAGGGATGATCTGCTGGGTCTTCTCCTGTGCCCTGATGTTGTGGGCTCCCAGAGTGACTTTCATTGAGCTATGAGGACAGCAGGGTGGAGATGGGAAATGTGGAGTGAGAGAGAACACCATCCAGAAGTATAAGAGGCAGGTTGGCCTTGGTGGGAATCTACCTGGGAGGACTTGAGAAGACAGAAAGGCCTCAGGATTTGACCTACTGTTTTTTGCTTCTCAAGAACATTAAATGCCTGGAGGCTCCCTCTTGCCGTAGGTAATATTCCAAGTTCACATTGACTTTTACTGTGTACATTCAACCTCAATCACTGCTTCAGTTTGGCCGCTCTAGTTTTTTTCAACTCAAGTGTACCGCTGACTCTGACCTCTCTCAACTTTTGACCCCAAAGTTTTCCTGTTTTCAGACTTCCATTTTCACAGTCCTGCCTTCTAGCCAGTTTCTCACAGGGGCATCCACAATTAGGGGACAGAATCTCCTTTTGGAGTCTCAGAAAACATGGGCCTGATGCTTCTCCTCACCTTCCCCGGCAGTGAGCAGCTGTCAGCACAAAGTTGTCTCGAACCAGGAAGCCTCCACAGAAACTCTTATTCCCATCATCACGCACAGATAGAATAAATGCCATGTAGGGACGGGAGTGGGGCTTGACCTCATGGCCCCCGATGATCTCCTCTGAAAGAAAAGGTTAGAATATGGTGCCTAGGAGCAGCAGATGAGGTGCGGAGGGAAGATCTGGGTAGGGGTGCAGGCATGGGATCTGCAAGTTTGTTGTGGACAGAATTCCTTGCACACAGAATAATCTTTGTTAAATCTTAAGCCACAGCCATGCTCTTGTACCCAAGTTCTTGATTCACAAATACATCGGGAGACAAGCTCTATCTTCATGAGGACACACTGAGGGTTTACAGGCCTTTTCGTTGTTATTGTGCCTCTAACACCTTGATTAGTTTCGATTTTCCACATTTCACTCCAAACCCTATGGAGGATGATTTTCTAAAATTCTCCTGTTCTGGCATCCAACACATCTTAGGTTTTAAGTAATAATTTGGTAGCAGGAATGGATAAGTAATACTAAGCTGGAGGAATGGTGGTTCAGAACTCATGGGATGCAGAACCTGGGGGACCTTGGAGTGTGTGATGGCAAAGATGGGAATAGCTGGGGATCTTCAGACAAAAATGCAGAGGCCAACCAACATTAGACTGCAAAGCTGGGGGAGGGTGCAATGCAAGCATATTGTCATCTTGGGCCTCTTTCTTCAGCAGGCTAAGGATGGAGGTTACTAAATGATAACACTATTCTAGAGCTGCTGGCCTTACCCCATGCAGGCTGGTCATTAGAACTGCCCTTCACTGGACTCAAATAAAGTTAACGATGTAGTTTTTAGTGTCTTTACATTCTCTGTAGTGTTCCTGTCTAATGAATAATCCACTTTCCAGGTACAATAAGAGCAGAAAGTATACAGTTTCCACTAAGTCTTCTGGGGACACCTCCCTTCCTCAGACCTTGTTGAGAATCTAGCCAGTGACAGATTCTCATGTGTGGGGTTGGTATGGGACCTGAGGTTCAGAAAGCTCCTGATTCAGCGCAGGACAGTTCCTGACTAGAGATGGGCAGAATCCACAGAGGTATTATGGGATGGCACCTCTGAGACAGGGGTTTTCACTCACCTGCACCAGCACCAAGTGGCAGAAGAAAGGTCAGGAGAATCAGGATGGGTGACATCTTCTCAGGGAGGCTACTCGGGTTGGAGGAGGGCAGAGTAGACACAGCCCTTGAAGGGATGGAGGAAGTGAGTGCCCAGGGACCTCACAGGCATTTAAACCTGTGCACCTGATCTTTGATTGGCTCTATTGGTTAAGGAACCTTTCTGGTTGGGTAATATGACACAGCCACCATACTGACATGAGCTAAGGTGGGATAAAGACCAAGAAAAGAGGGTTTGAGGCTGTGGTTGTAGAGGGCGTGAGACCCCAGGAAGTCCTCAGTGTCTGCACTGAACCAAAGTCTGTCCTTTTTACCTCTGACATCCTGTGCATTCTGGTAAGATCTTGTTTGGTTTGGTTCAGTTTTTTTTTCTTTCTTTCCATTTTAAATAATACAGACAACAATTAATCATGAAACAGTTATAGCAGTACAAATACACAACAAATTTAGAGTGGCCTTAGTGAGACTTGATACAGAGCCATATTTGGCTAGACAGAGTTTCAGTACAGCATCTAATTAGCCTATGGGACTTCTGATCATACAGGGGAATCATCTGTTGGAAGAGTCTGATGAATTCATCTTAACTCACTCTGACTCTCCTAAACTGCTAGGATGTCACAGAGAAATCCTGAAAGCTTTGATCCATTTTGACTTAAGTTTTGTGCAAGGCGATAGGCTTGGGTCTAACAGCAGTGTCCTACATGTCCGAAACCAGTTATGCCAGCACCATTTGTTGAAGATGTTCTCTTTGTTCCATCGTATAAATTTGTTGTGCAATGTGATAGGCTTGGGTCTAACTGCAGTCTTCTACATGTCTGCAACCAGTTATGCCAGCACCATTTGTTGAAGATGTTCTCTTTGTTCCATCGTATAAATTTAGATTGTTTATCAAAAATCAGGTGTTCATAGGTGTGTGGCTTAACATCAAGGTTTTCAACTCTATTCCATTGGTCTACCAGTCTATTTTTGTGCCAATACCAAGCTGTTTTCAGAACTATAGCTCTGTAATAGAGCTTGAAGTCAGGGATGGTGATGCCTCCAGAAGTTCCTTTATTGGACAGGGTTATTTTGGCTATCCTGGGTCTTTTGTTTCTCCATATAAAGTTGAGAAATGTTCTTTCAAAGTCTGTGAAGAACTGTGCTGGGATTTTGATGGAGATTGCATTGAATATATAGATTGCTTTTGGCAAGATTGCCATTTTTACTATGTTGATCCTACCTATCCAAGAGCATGGGAGATCATTCCATTTTCTGGTATCTTCTTTAATTTCGTTCTTTAGAGACTCAAAATTCTTATGGTACAGGTCTTTCACGTTTTTGGCTAGTGTTACCCTAAGGTATTTTAAGTTGTTTGTGGCAATTGTAAAGGGTGATGTTTCTCTGATTTCTTTCTCTACCAATGTGTCATTGGTATATAGTAGGTCTACAGATTTTTTTGAGTTAATCTTTATCCTGCCACTTTGCTGAAGGTGTTTATCAGATGTAGGAGTTCCCTGGCAGAGTTTTTTGGGTCACTAATGTAGACTATCATATCATCTGCAAATAGTAAAGACCTCAACATAAATCCAGCTACACTATTAGAAGACTAAGTGGGAAATACCCTTGAATTAATTGGTACAGGAGACTGCTTCCTGAACATTACACCAGTGGCACAGACACTGAGGTCAACAACTGATAAATAGGACCTCCTGAAACTGAGAAGCTTCTGTAAGGCAAAGGACACAGTCAGCAGGCCAAAACAGCAGCCTACAGACTGGGAAAAAATATTCACCAACCCCACATCTGACAGAGGGCTGATCTCCCAAATATACAAGAACTCAAGAAGCTAGTCTCCAAAACATCAAACAATCCAATTAAAAAGTGGGGTACAGAACTAAATAAACAATTCTCAATAGAGGAATCTAAATGGCTGAAAGACAAATGAGAAAGTGTTCAACATCCTTAGCCATCAGGGAAATACAAATCAAAACAACTCTGAGATACCATCTTACTCCTGTCAGAATGGCCAAAAGCAAACACACCAATGACAGTTCATGCTGGAGAGGATGTGGAGAAAGGGGAACACTCCTTCACTGCTGGTGGGAGTGCCAACTTGTACAGCCACTGTGGAAATCAGTATGGCGACTCCTCAAGAAAC